GACTGACTTTAAAAAAAAGCAATTAAAAAAATGGCTTATGAACACCCTACAGAACATTAAAGCAAATTATGGTAAATTAGCAGTAAGCCAAGACTTGAGAAAGCTAGTACATATGATAACTTATTTTCAACCAACATAATGCAAAAGATTGGAATGAACCTCTACTTTGTTTATAAAAAGCCATTAAAGTTGATTAATTTTTGCATAAGCAATAAATATAGCATCCGACCATCAAATAATTTAACACAAATAAGAGTCAGAAGTTTTTAACATAAATATTTTACAAATGAGTGAGTGAAGTGCATATAACGGGCCTACATCACTTTCAAGTAACCGGTTAACATAAATACATATGATAAATATCGATTACCAGGTTGTATATTGCAAGGCTATTTGGCCGTCAAGGAGCTCCAACCTTAATCTAACCCTGTTTTAGCAGGTTTCATAATGAGATTAGCTCATAAGCAGTTGGGAAGTTTGCACAAACAGTTGAGAACTTCATGTTGTGTTACTATTCAAGCATGTTTGGACACACTCTAGCATGTCTACAAAACAAAGAATACAGAGCAAATGTGCCTCCTTCCCCATTGTCATCAGCTTTTAGCACAATGAACACATATTTCAACAAAAGAACTAAAGTAAGAGTCCAGAAAATAAAATAAAGTGCCCCAAAGGTTTCTTCATTAGTCTCTAAATGTTCAATATCTCCTGCAAAAGTGCTTTTGAACACATATAATGGTGATGTGCTCGAATCTCCATAAACAACACCCAAGCTTTGATAAGCCAATGTCAAGATTGTCTTCCAAGACTTTTTTGTGTAAACAATAATAACACAAATTTCAAATGGGTATTGTCTAAAAATCCCTAAATTAAGAAATTACAACATACCCATCTTACCTTTAGATGATTATGATGAAACCCAGTTTCTAGATCCATGATAAGTTGTCTCAGGTCAATAAAGAAACCACCTTTATCTTGATTACTCGAATGCCCATTTAGGAAAACTAATCAAAGTGAGTTGAAATTGCGATTTAATGGCTAAATCTTGATTGAAAAGGTGGAACTGAAGAGTTAAATTAACTAATCAACTAAAATGGCAAGCACTTTAATGTGAAGAAAGTGCTCAAAAAGGCAGTTGAACTAAAATAAAAAGACGAAGAAACCAAACATGAAAAAGCTACAAAAAGCTGCGTAATTGGAGCATAAAAACTGTATTTCAATACTTCATGTATGATAGTGGAAGAGTATGTGATTTCATTGAGGGATTTCAGATATAGATTACATCCCAATTATCACCTCCTCTTCTTATTTGCTCATATTTTGTCACTTTGTGATCATCTGATTCACAAAACCAAATGGGATCCCATACACAAATTCCACTCAAATAAACAACTTGTACACTTGCCATCAATTTTGCAACCTAAGAACTCATCAGTCTTTGCAACAACACTTACCTATATCATAATTAAACTCCTTGATCTCTATTTGTTGTTTCTGGAAGAACTTGGTGGTCATAGGAATGTATAGAATCAAATTGACTCCAATCATGACATAGGTTGAAACAATAAATTGGTCATAGGAATGTCACATGCATTGAAGCTTATCCTTTAAGAATATCTATTTATCTGAAGCTTTGATTCTTTAAGAAGTTGTATTTCTTCTATAATGTATGCATATTTCTTGAATGAAATGGAAATTTAATAGCCTTAACTTCTCAGTTGTGGAAGCATTAGACTTGATGAATTCGAATTTAAGCGACAAAATAATGAGGATTATGGCAAACTTTAGAATGTAGTATATGAATCAAATGAAGTATTGATGTACATAACTCATGGAAAACTTTAAAATGGGAAAAGTAGTATGCAAATATCACATTTGGAGAAAGGGAGGCTAGCTTGAGTTCCTAAGGTGCTCAATCTGAAAGTTGAAAAGAAAGCTTAAAATGAACATCATCACATAGGAATAAAGTGCAAATAAGTATAGAAATTATGTCACATGTTCCATAGGGGTGGCAATGGGTCAGGTTAGATTGGGTTGGGTTGAGTTCGGGTTCAACTCATTTATTAAACAGGTTGAAAATCTCAACCCAACCCAACCCATTTAATTAAATGGGTTGAGAAACCCAACCTGTTACCTAAATGGGTTGACAACGGGTTGACCTGTTTACGATTTTCTTAACCCAACATGTTAAATAAATGGGTTGAATATGGATTGACCCATTTAATTTTAAAATTTTAAATAAAAAAAGGACTAGACTATTTAATTTTTTTTTTAATAAAACACAACCACAAATACAAACAAATTATTCAAAGTTTGAATAAAATACAACCACAACAAATATATTGTTCAAAATAAGTTGGATTAGACTTTGGAGGCGATAATGGAGTAATGGACTTCTTAGGGTTCATGATTATTAAGAGTATGGAGGCGATTGAAATTTGAAATTTCATCTCACGAAGGCAGGATTTTTAATTAAAAATAAAACAAAATTAAAAACTAGAATGTTAGATATAATGTTAAGAATAAAATAAAATTATATAATATTTTAAATAGGTTGAAAACAGGTCGAAAAATTAAACCCAACCCAACCCATTTATTTAAATGAATTAGGCGGGTTGACCCATTTATTTAAATGAGTTGAAAATATCAACCCAAACTGCTAATTTTGGGTTGGATTCGGATTAGGTTAGCGGGTTGGGTAATTTTTTGCCACCCCTAATGTTCCATAAATACCATAAGCATCAAATTCATGTACACTTTGAAGCAAAAAAAAAAAGTAACTCTCAAATAAAAGAATTTGAAAAATTAAAGCACCCAGTTTATAAAAACATATTTACACAATTTGTGAGTGCAAAAAATAACTTAAGAACACTTGCTTTGCAATGCAAATTAGTATTCTAAATTGTAGCAGTTTCAAACACAGATATAAAATGAAGAGAAAAGCAAATCCATGGACTAACATGAGATTTTAAAATTGTATGGAGTGAGATTGCTACAAAATAAGTGAAAGTTCACCCCTCTCAAACCCTAAATTCAAAAATCAAAACAAATATCAGAAATCATTAGCAAATACTTAAAATGTGTTCTGGTTGTTGTACCCCTAAGTGAAATTGTTGTAGCCCTACGTAGTCACCGGGTAGAGCTGAGTGAGAATCGTCGTTCTTGGAGCGGGATCGCCATTTCCAATTTCCAATTTCCAAAACCAAAAGTTTCCTGAAAATGTTTTAGATAAAGTAGACAGAGAACACAAAATCAATTATTAAAAGCTTGAGCAGGGATGGAGAAAAACCGAGCAGATATTGATTATTGAAATTCAAGCAAAAATATAGAGCCCAAGGGCAAAAGAAGAAATGTCAAACCTGAAGAACATGGAGAAACCGAGTGGAGGAGAAATCAACAATCGTGACCGAAAACAGGGAGAATGATATTGCACATAGCGTGAATCTGGTGAGGTTAGTGTTTTGAGAAAATTGACTGAGAAGAGAAGAGAAGTCGGACATGGGAGATAATTCAGGAGCATGGGGAAGAAACGTGGGAGGTGGGAAGACAATCCAGGATATCTGCTATGAAGCTTGTACACTAAGCATACAAACTGTAACTCGTAAAATTCAACAAAAGTTGTTTTAGCTGCTTATACATATTATATATATATATATATATATATATATAGAGAGAGAGAGAGAGAGAAACAATCAAATGCAAACCACTCATATTTGTACAAACCGTGCAAATCACTCTCATCCGTCGATTTTATTGTTTAATCTTATGAAATTGTTTCATATAATATTTTTTTTGATGAAGTTGTTTCATGTATGATTATGAAATTGTTTTATATAATACTTATGAAATTTTTATGAAACTGTTTCATGTATTTTTCTCTAAAATTAATATAATGAAAATGATAATATTCATGATTAACACTCTCCACAACAAAAATGATTGATCATAATTACAAAAAAAATGAACAAAATGAAAAATTACGATTGGTTGAATGAAGTTTGTACGGTTTATACAAATAACGTCGTTTGCAAAGTAAACCTCCTATATATATATACACTATATATATATATATACTATATTATAAAGAATTTGACAAAAACTCTTAAAAACTATCGTTTATACATGAAATACCGCTTATTGATGCATATTACTTAAATTCAATATTACAAGTAAATTGTGCGTAAGTACATTTATTAAGCTCTATATTTAAATTCATGTAACTAAATATAGATAAATATAACGAATTACAAGATAAAATTCTTATTTTAAATATAATAACTAAAATATAATTAGGATAATTATTGAGTTCTAACAGAATACTTAGTTATTATATTTATAAAAATTATATTATTAAACCAAATATAATCACTTTGTCATCAAACCTAATTAGATTATAATATAAAAAAATTGAATTAAAAATTGAACTTTTATATATTTTTTTAATTTTTATGATATTTTTAAATTTATATTTTATTAAGAAAAACATAATTGTTTGTTCAAAACCACATAAATTCGTATTATAACATTGACAGAGACCAAAAAAATGAAACATTAAAATCGAGATATATCTTGCTACATTGCGCGAGTAACCTTCTGGTATATATAAAAAGTTTAAAAACAATTATTTTTTCAAAAACACGTGATTAGAAGAAAAAAAACGTTCGGTCTAAAAGCTGGCCCGTGGTTTTCTAAGCGCACCCGATTCGACCCAGAGTTTTGAAACGGACCCGACATATGCCAGCCTCTCCAAACAATAACGTATATATTTTGTATGTATAGCCGTTGCAAGAATATCAAACACTCTGTAAACTCGGCCCCTTTTCTTGCTCTCGATCTGCTCCATTCGCCATTAACGCATCTCCTCGTCTTCATCTTCATCTTCATCTTCATCTGCTTGCAATCGCTCCTCTTAACTTTTCTTTTCTCATACTTTAATTGGTTTATCGTTACATTTAGTAGATATATTTTTTATTTTTGTTATATACGATTTTGTTGTTTCTTCATCTTACAATCAGGTTATGGATGCAGGAAATCTGTCCGCTAGGTCACCTTCTCTTTCCAATCAGAAGCATCGGAGGAGGAATTCTCGTGATGATAATGTAAGAGCGTGTGTGTATTTGTGATTCTTTTTTTGTACAAAATTTAAGGTAATTTAGGGTTTTTCTGGATCTGATGCGGTTCTTTGTGTTATATGAGGTGTCTTGGTTCGGATTGTGAATTTGTTTGTGATAATTTGTCTTTAGGAGACTTCTTGCTGTGTCATTAGTCACTGATTAGGACTCTGTGATTATGATTAGTTGATCAGATCTTGATGGAGATGAATCATTCATCCACACTTAGGTGCTGTTTACCAAATTTTCTGTTAAACAACTTCAGTTATAGAAATGTATTTAATTGCTTCTATTTCTTCTTGGAAATGTTTTTGATGTTAAAATGTTTCCTTCTATGCCTGAAAAGAAGGGTTTATTATAGGAAGTGTTTTGTGTTCTATGAAAACCAAAAGTATTCTTGGTTCATACATTGAGATATTCGGTGTTTCTATAGACTGTTTGCAATGAAAACAGAAAAAAATACACAACTTATGAACCATGGTAGTCTGTCATCCTAACTTTTTTGTAGCAGCCAAAGAGATGTCATCTGTGCTTGAATTGTATCTTTGTAATACATTTTGGTACTATTTCAAGTGAATTTTGGTTTATATCAAGGTTTTTGTAGCTGTGTAATGTGGTTGTTCATGTATATTTTGGTTTGAATCTGCACGCACTTACTGAACCTACCTATTTTGGAACACCAGTTGGATAGGTTCATCCCAAATCGTTCGGCAATGGATTTTGACTTTGCGAACTACATGCTTACGGGCAGGAAGGTTGAAAAGGAAAGCTCCTCTCCATATTCACCATGGAGAGAATCTTACCGGAAGCAACTTGCAGAAATCTTCAATGTTAACAGGACACGGATCCTTGCATTTAGAAACAAGCCACCGACTTCACTGGATGGTGTCAAGGAGATTCCGCCACCTTCCACCATGTCAAAATGTGCAAAGCGAATGAGACATATTTCCCAAGTATGTCATCTTTCTTCAACTCTCATTTCGATCTTAAACCATAATCATCTTCTGTCCTGTTCTAATCTTTGCATCTGAGTTTTTATAGATGGTTAGTTGATTCGATTTTTATGGGTTTTTCTTCGTTTGGCAATAACAGTCGAGTGAAAGGACTTTGGATGCACCTGAACTTGTGGATGATTACTATTTGAATCTGCTTGATTGGGGTGTTGCCAATACTCTCGCTATAGGTCTTGGAAACAGTGTGTATCTTTGGGATGCATCTGAAGGGACCAGCTCTGAACTTCTATCAACGGATGATGATTGTGGCCCAATTACAAGTGTCAAATGGGCACCCGACGGAAGACACATTGCAGTCGGATTTAACAATTCCGAGGTTCAGCTGTGGGACTCTTCCACCAATCGATTGGTATTATATGTTTCCTCTGTTTCATTTTGAAAACTGAAGAGTTTGAGGATTGATCTCGAAACTTTTGTGGGGTTTTTATTTGATCAGCTGAGGACTCTTCGAGGACATGGATCGAGGGTCGGGTCGCTTGATTGGAACAACCACATCTTGACAACAGGGAGCATGGACGGTTTAATCATCAACAATGATGTTAGAATAAGATCACCTAATATTGGGACATACAGAGGCCATCATCAGGAGGTTTGTGGATTGAAATGGTCAACGTCCGGTCAACAACTAGCGAGTGGCGGCAACGACAACCTTCTCTTTATATGGGACCTCTCATGCAGCCAGAGGCTCCACCGCTTCTCCGAGCATACTTCAGCTGTAAAAGCCCTGGCCTGGTGTCCGTTTCAGAGCAATTTAGTGGCATCTGGTGGTGGCGTAGGTGACCAGTGCCTTAAGTTTTGGAACTCGAACACAGGTGCGTGCTTGAATTCGGTGAACACGGGTTCACAAGTGTCATGCTTGCTTTGGAACCGACATGAACGAGAGATTTTGAGCTCTCATGGGTTCAATGACAACCAACTCATTCTTTGGAAGTACCCTTCTATGGTTAAGTTGGCAGAACTTCATGGGCATACTTCAAGGGTGCTACATATGAGTCAGGTATGTGAAGTCTGGTCGCTGAAATGCTACTATGCCCGTACCAAACAAGTCTCCATGATAAATAAATAAACAAGTAAATATATAATAATGTTTAATTGTTTGATGTTTCTATTTTAGGATGTCTCAAAATAAACGGTCCACTTTCAAAAGTAAGTTTACACTTTCCTACTCTACTATGAGATAGAGAGAGTTTGTCTCTCTGTATTATTAAGGGTAAAAGTGTCAATTTGGTTTAAGAATTATAATAATTACATATTCCAAAAACTGTGTGCCATATTGTGGACATTTATTTTGGGACGAATAGAGCTCGTGTTTTAATCAGGAAGGGCAATGACAATTTCACCGCTAACAATATCGGTACATCATCTCATAATTGATGATAGAACTGGAAAGTAGACATTTACTTTGAACATGAATATTTGCGTACTTTTTAATTAGAATTGGAAAGTAAACGCTTACTCTTAAAAGTGTACATTTATTTTGAAATAAACTAAAAAGCATGGACACTTATTTTGGTAGGGAAAGAGTACATGCAAATAAGTGGAAATGTACAAGTGTCTAATACATTAGTTTTACCTTTATCTATTTCAGAGTCCGGATGGGTACAAGGTTGCATCGTTGGGTGCTGATGAGACGCTAAGATTTTGGAACGTTTTTGGCACACCAGAAGTGACCAAAAACACAAAGGCGGAGGAGCCGTTTGCTTCTTTTGCACGTATCAGATGAAGTATATGATCAAAACCAGACGACAGTCACGAAAGTTAAGTTTGTTTGTGAAGGGATCGCACAAAATTTTTGTCCTATCAGAAGACGAAATTAGTCCTCATACCCGAAGACATGTAAAATGGCTGAATCTGAATAAGTTTGATGGCATAAATTGTCTTCCTGGACACGTGAAATTGCATCTTTAGAATGACTCGAGACTTTTATTACTTTTACTTCATTTGGATGATTTATAAATAAGCATTCTACTAGACTTACACAACAAAACCCAACACAAATCAACATCATAGAAACACCAAAAAAGAGCCCACAAGAAAACTATTCCAACAACCGAAATAAAAAGGAAACCGTTTCCAACATGAAAATAACACAATCGAGACCGAAAGCTCCACAAAAAAAAAATCACTTGCTCAAAATCACCAGTTAAAAAAGATGAGTCCGTTATCAGTCATTTGCCGAATCACGAACAACTGGAAAACAAATGAAAATGGATGCACTTTACTAGTACAAGCAATGCTATCTAAAACTCTTCCATAACCATATTGACCGGAGATAAACCCACCACCACCCACAGCTGGTTTTGATGGTGAAGTCATCGACAAATTAGTCATCCAGGTAATAGTAAGACCCAGCAAATTTCTGCTCCCTGTCCTTTGTTGAATTAAGCTTGTTGATTCTTGGTCGAAAATTAGTTGGGTCCCGCCTAAACGTAATGTTCAGATGCTGTACCACATATCAACCACCAATTACACACTTGGTTAGCAAATGATGAACACGATAGGTCCATAACACTGGAACTGAATGGAACCAGATCAAACCGAAATCAAAATCTCAAACAAGTTACAATTCCATATCAGTTTGAAAATTTTGTTTTGATTTTTATCTTTCTTTAAGAATGTCTTATTTGAAGAATCCAAGCAGAATAGATGGTTACTGGAGCAGGCGAGAAAACCCAAAAAACAAAGGAGAACAAGGGACCCTATCAACCGTTGGATCTAAAATATAGATGGGTCAAATCCCAATGTAACCGCCCCTATTATTCGCAACAGCCGAATTAAAATAGAATAATGGTTCAGATTGGTTCCCTTTTTCTAGCGTTCTCTCTTGAACCCACACCTACTAGAGCATGATAGTAGAAACATACATTACACATTTCAAATTTTTCCTACAGGTGAGATTAAATTTGGTTTTTAACAGGTTACAGACCAGCCAAGAACGAATTTTCTAACACATAACGGAACCAAAAGGTGTGTTATTTGACCGGTCCAGTTTTGTCTGTTCAAAGCAATTCATGCACATTCCTAATAGAACTGTTGGTGAAATAAGAGCATGTTTTCTTATTTTGAAAACGAAAATTTAAGCAGAAAAAGAAAAAAGGGAAGTTGGATTAACAGTGAGTTTGATACTTACAGATAAGAAGAGATTCATGCCGGTCAATAACGACTGAGGTGCATTTGCAGTACAGTCAACAGATGGTGTCCCTTCGTAAACGATCACCCTGTCTGCTAGATAAGTTGCCATTATGAAATCATGTTCAACCACAAAGGCAGTCTTCTTAGCGTGTAGTATAAATCTCTTTATAACTTTTGAAGCAACAATACGCTGCTCGGAATCGAGGTATGCACTTGGTTCATCTATCAGATAAATATCAGCAGGCTGAAATAGAAACACAAGATGCCAAGTAAGATCTCATAAATTATTGGCTAACCAGCACTATCAAATACAAAGACTTCAGTATAAATCGAGCCCTTCCAAAGTACTAAACCTGTTAACTAGGATACATGATAGAGGTGTACCCTATTTACGATAACGCAGTCCAGAAATTAAAAAAACAAACGAAACAAGCATGGTATATCCCACTCGAAAGAAAGTAGGGTCTAGAGGGATGTACGTAAACTTATCTCCTGCCAAAAGAGTAGAACGGTTGTTTCCGTGAAAACCCCAGCTTGTGCAAAAGTGTGAGCGAAAAGAAAGAAAAAAAAAAGGAATAGTACAATAAAACACAGAAAAAGTAAAGAAAACCACACACCCTCAACCACTCTTTAACTCCCTTCTTCTCATACATCAACAGTGAAGCTATATTATTAGTATTAGGTTAACATGTGCTATTGCATAAGCTGCAATATACAAACCAGCAAAAGCAAGATGTCTTGGATAAAGTTTTTGGGTATATCTATCATTAGAAATGCATCAAGCCAAGCGCACACCCAGAAATGAAGGTTTGGTCTACAGGTCTCATGCCAATAAAGAACTCTAATAATAAAAGTTCACGCGTCCTTTAAAAAAAATGACAAATCCAAGATGGATATATTCAATCAATATCACATACTAGAAAAGTAGAAATAAAAGAGCATCATCTTTTCTGTGATATTCACATCATGAATTCTAGATCAGAACAAGAGACTGTCAGCCAAATCAAGCTTGATGTAGAAATTCAGAACAAAGTAACAAACATCAGCTTTGAAACTGTAAAGTATGTATATGTGTCTATATATATATACATATATATTATAACAGACACAAAAGAAGCAGAAGCATAGGACTACAGTGCATTATCGATGATCTATACAGTGCTTATTGTGCAATTTCAGTAACAAACAAATCAAAAAAATGGTTCCTTAGAAAGTAAATAAAGAAGAGAAAATCACCTTGCCAAGGCACAGGCACAATGCAACTCTTTGCAGTTCCCCACCAGAAAGATTCACAACCTCTTGATCCATTAGCTGCTCAATTTGAAGAGGTTTCATGACATCTGATACAAACTGAGGATGCATATATGAGTCACGAATCTTTTGATGCAGCAAATGCCTGACTGAGTGAGGGAACTTGGGACTGATCTTTTGGGGCTTATAAGAGACATTAAACTCAGGTATCTCTACATCAGTGTCTTCCACAGTATCAGGCTTCAGTAAACCAGCCTACATATTTGATAAATATAGAGACTTAGGCACACCCAAGATACACAAGATAACAATAGTCACATTTTCTATAAAGAAATAGGTCTCACCAGCATACGGATAAATGTTGTCTTTCCTGTTCCATTCTCACCAAGCATTACTATGATCTGTGAGTCTGTGAATTCACCCTCAAGCACCTTAAGTTTGAAACCACCCTGCGTTTTAGACATAGTGGGGTATCTGTAGCGTGCATATGTTTCAATTTCCTCGGCAGTCTCCTGTGGTGTCTCAGCAACCTTTTTCGGGTAGAGCATAGAGGTAGAAAAGGTCATTTCAAACAAAATCAATGATGTTGCTGGTGAACTTATAATAATGGTACTAAAAACTAATGAAAATTTTACCTTAAAAGTAAGAGATTCATCACGAAAACGAAGATTTTCTGTGGGCACATAACCTTCCAAAAATATATTAATCCCTTCTCTGACAGAAAAGGGCAGCGTTACAACACCATATGCACCAGGCTTCCCATAAAGGCAGCAAATGAAGTCTGATAGGTAATCAAGCACACTTAGATCATGTTCAACAACAATCACATAGCTGAAATGGAAGTTTCAGAGTGAAATTGTGTTAGTATTAGTATCTTAACATCATAAACTAAAAAGCCAACTGAAGATTCCAAACAAAATCAGTAGAATAACCTATTAGGTCTAAGCAAGGATCTGATAACTTGAGCAGCTTTAAGCCTTTGTTTCACATCAAGATAACTTGAGGGCTCATCGAACATATATATTTCTGCATTCTGTATGGCAACAACAGCAATCGCAAACCTCTGAAGCTCTCCACCAGACAAATCTCCAACATTACGATCTATAACCTGATTCAGCTCGAGATCAGCACAAAGCTCTGCCTTCACATCTCTTTCGTCCTTTTGTTCAAGCACTTGTCCAACATTCCCTTGAACTGCTTTTGGAATATGGTCGACATACTGGGGTTTTATGATAGCCTATTAAAGAGAAAAAAACTAATCAAAAAATTGGAAAAAAACAAAAATAAAATTGTCTGATGGTCATTACATCAGAGCCATGGGCCATCATCAACAAAAATGGGAATAAAAAATACCAAATCACAATTTGAGGAACAAATTATATATACACACATTAATGCTTACATTAATGCAAGCATCCTCCCAGAGAAACTACAAGGTATTCCAGTAAATGTGATGTAACTGTAATCAGCCCCCTAATTGGAAAGATTGAGACCTATATTGATCATCCCAAAGAACAAACGACACTTATTTTGAGACAGAGGGAGTAACAAGTAACTGAACAGCGAGAAAGCAGACTACATGATTGAGAGAATTCAACCTTATCAAGAACATTTCTGAAGAAAAAAGAATCGTTTTAAAAAGTGTTACAAGGAGTGAGCCACATGGCAAGCAATCCCTCAAGAGAAATGGGGCATATTGTTACACCTAATATCTCATCTATATGATATCAAAACAAGTCTCAACCCAACTAAACCATCCTCTAATCATCTGTCACTCCATGTTTAGTCACCTTGAACTTCAAAAGACAATAACTTATAGAATATCAGTATTTCTATTCCAAAAGTGATCCTGCTTTACGTAATTTCCTTATCTTGCTATTTGTATATCCTAAAATCAAAAACCAAACCAAGCAACTCAATATCCCACTTGAAAGTAGGGTTTAGGGATGTTTGCAGACCTATCCTCTACTGCGGTTGTTTCCATGAAGACCCCCGACTAGTACGCTTCATTGGCACTTAATGACAACACACTAGCATTAAAATGTGATAGTCTTAGGTGTTGCTCTTCACCCATGAGTTCAATTTAGTAAAAGAGATCGTGATTTTAATCTGGCAAGAAACATAAAAATCCAGTACTCTAAACAGTAGGACAATATGAAGTAGAATGCACCTTTAGATTATCTTCGAGAATACGCGTGAAGTAGTTTTGCAACTCAGATCCACGAAAGTATGTCAAAATCTCTTGCCAGTCTGGAGGGTTCTGGAAAAATAATTGAAGCATTAATTAATTTTAAAAAAAAAAAAGATAATATAAAATACTCTTTCCTGCACTAGAAAGAGATCGATGATAGATGATCAGCAGATTTACATTAAAACGCCCCAAATTGGGTTTCAATTTTCCGGCCAAAACTTTGAGGGCTGTAGACTTCCCAATTCCATTTGTTCCCACCAAACCAAGAACTTGCCCTGGTCGTGGGACAGGCAACCTGCCATTCGAAGTTTCTCAAATCAGTGTTCAGCATAACAGCAACACACCAGTGCAACGAAGCAGTGTGGTTTGTAAACCTGTGTAATTTGAAGGTATTGACACCATAACGGTGAGTTGTATCTTTATCCAAATCCTTTGGTAAATTGATGATCTCAATTGCATCAAATGGGCATTTCTACATTAACAAAGCAAAGAATATCAGGTTTGAGCTGCAATTCCTGTTGGTCTGAAAGCAGAAAGTAACACAAAAGAATATCACAGGTGCACAAACCTTAACACATATCCCACACCCTATGCATAGCTCCTCCGATATTTGCGCAATCTTGGATGCAGAAGTGACCTCAATACACAGCTTACCTGCCAAAAGAAAGTGAATGTCAAGTGCATAACCATTACAAGATCTCTAGGCCTAGAAACCATTACAAGATTACCATCGTATCCATAAAGCATCAAAACTCAAACAAAGTGCACCATTGTATGCAATAATAGATAGAAAAACTAATAACCAACATAAATAAAAGAAACTCGAAAGAGATACAAAATAAATATCTACAACCTAATTGAGAGAACAGCTTCATGTACCACGGAACCATTGTTGTGAAAGACGCACCTGGACTCCTGTCTAGGCACGAGGTCCATAAGGCACAACTTTGGTGCATCACCTTCACTGAGGCTCATCAGCTTCAATGAGGCACATGCCTCATCCTGAGGGTGCAGGGCATGTGGCATGAGATTCATGGAAGTGATGCATACGTAAATAGTACCATCCATTTCAATAAATCAGCAAAAAGAATTCTTAGGCCTCTTAGGAGTTTGAAATCCAGACCCAGGAAGCATTTAGTATGCGTAACGCGTGTCTCGACTTGTGTTCATCAGTTAAATTTTCTCAACTAGGAGGTAATCTTTATAATATTTTCAAAGCAATTTACCATCGGAAAAAAATAGCTATTTAGAAAAGTAACTGCACCAAAGTAAAGAGATACCAAATTCTTAATAGTTAATTCTCATATAATTATAACATCTATTAACATTTTTGTAAGTTAGATAAACCACTTGTACATCCACTAAATATCGGCTTAATCCATACACACCATCAAGTGCTAAAAGGGTATGAACCTGACTAGCTATGGTTAATGCTGTTTAGAACACTGATTGATTATCATAGGTTAATACTTAATACTTAATAAGTTATCAACACAGTTGATGATTCTTCAAGTGATGTTAACTAAAATTCAATTGTTTACATTGTTAATGCTAACATTAGTAAATATCAATAGCAAACTAAATTTAGTGGTGAACTCATTTTATATTATTGCCAAGACTGTAATCAATAATTCGTTAATTAAATGTCAAATGTTCTTTATATGTATGATGTTAACCATAATATAAATATGATGTTAATCATGCTTGTGATGCATTAGTAGACTCGATATTTTAACCATATATGCCCATTCTCACCCCTTTGAATGTTGTTTGCACACACCTCACCATGTGCGTCATGCCTAGGCCCTGGCATGACCTTTGTGCCATGGTGCATATCATACCTTACTAACACTACACATAACCTATGTGTTAAAGCTGCCAATCGTACTCCATCCTAAACCAAATCCGCTTAGAATTTCCCTTCCTTTAATACAATCAAGGAAGATAAACCACTTTACGTATAAAAACAAACATCACCTGGTTTATCATAAACAATTATACACATTCAAACTATCCTATATCTCCAAGTTGGCTCATTCACTTGCCAAGCGCTTTTCATGGTCAATCACACTTCAGATTCTTGGAGCATTACAATTTTAATTCTCAAGCATCTAAAGTCCAGTTTACAAACACCTCCACCATTCCTAGATTGGTAAATAATCAGACTTCACCAATTCCTACAAGTCTTTCCTAGGCAACCTATTCCTCTATGTAGATGAACAAGTGAAGTTCCTCTTTATCTCGATCAATGCCTCTCAATTTCCACTTCAATATCACACCAAAATGGTTCTTAAATGATCTAAGCTCAGCAGCGTCTTTAAAGTGTGACAAATAAGCTTAGTCCCTCTTATGCCATACAATGTACAACCCAAGTAACTCTTGTATCAAAATGGTTAAACTTTTACACTTTTCGGGCATCCTTTCAGTCCTCCTCGGTCCATACAACAATGTACCAAACAAAGGTACTAGTATCACTATCTACCCAAAGTAGAACCAGATGTACCTCGACCAATTCTGAAGTATCTTACCAACTACCATGTGCAATAATCCTTATATATCATTAACTTTTCGAAAGCTTCCTATGTTATAAATCTACCTACAACCTTCATCAACATCATGAAAAGTTTGTCAGCCTCAAATTCTAGAATTTACCATGGAACATGTCAAACTAGTGAATAACTGCTCCATGTTTCTAACCACTTCCACAAATAATTATAACTCCTTTAATATGGTTAAGATGACTGAATTCTCTAGTTTCCTTATGCAACTATTTTCAACTTTAGGCTTCTGAAACTTGTGACGGCCTAACATCATAACTTGTATCATCTATGACATTCATTATACAATCAGTCATAACATTCCTCATTCAACCACTAAAATGCTGTGAACTAAAGGCGTATGTCAGCCTTCTTTCTTCAAGCAATGTGGTCCAGAAAACGTACATATCCACCGGTAGGGTTTATCATCTTCTCTACATTCTTTGTCATTTATCTAAGTTATTTGCATCTCGGACATGGTTATGAAGCCTATATGTATAACCCTAGCTATGCAAAAGGTGATTGCAACACGCCTTATTCTGTCAGCCCCAAGGAGATGAAGTCAGGTCTAGTTACATTGTCATATTGCGTCATTGGGGTGTGGGTTCAAGAATATAATTTTTGTACCAATGGTTGAACTGAGTTGGATATAAGCTTCAACAAGATTTCTTGTATTATAGTTAAGTCTAATCACTTAGCTATACTGTTATATGCCTGATTTGCATATAAAAAATGCCTCACTTTCCACAATGCCTCAATCCATTATGATGAAATAAAAGATGACATGTAAAACACTCCAATTTTGTCATGACAACAGTCACGATTCCGGACATAAAACAGTTTATATTTATCAGGCATTAGTCTGAAGATTAAACAATAAGGGTACAAATTTATAGAACCAACACCAAATATCCTGTATAAGCTAAACCACCGATCACATGGCAGATGCTAAAATATTTACGCAATCCCTTGAACCTGAGTATTATAAAAATATACATATGAACCAAAGCAGGTCCTATTCCTTTCTCCATCAAAGAGGACAGAATCAGCTCAATGTGTAGTACCCTACCATGTTAGAGCTGCCATCAATCCGAAGTGGAACCAGACAACCAAAAATCAAACGATACTCCCTCCATTCCACACTGAATTACTTAAATACTCTCTCTGAATCTACAAACTTCTATATCATTATCTACCTACGATTAAACCATACACATGAATCTCAATTACAACAAAAATAAACCCTGTACGTATCAATATAGAATAACAACGCAAATTTAACTAAATCAATAGAACACATACATCAAATCAAAAACATCATCGAATAGATAAAAAGGAACAAGTTTCGTGATCCAAATTCGATAAATAGAGAATTAGACAATTTTACCAGTTTTGACAACCGGGCAGCTCTTTTTACATTCTTGACGACACTTCTTCGGCTTGCAACGGTCTTCTTTTAGGATGGCAATACGCGTTAATCTATCGGCCATTGATGAAATGATCGAAAAGAGAAACAAAACCTTGCAGTTCAGAGAAGAAAGAGTGCGGCGCGTGTTCGGAACACAATGACGGCTCAAGGGTAGAAAACCCCAGCAGACATAATACGGAGAGTAAATTACACTTCTGGTCCCTGCGGTTGACACTACCTACCAAATCTAATCCTTATTTTAAAATAATTACAATTTTAGCTTTTATAGTTGACACTTCTTGAAATATATATTTAGCTCCTTAACTTTTGTATTTTATAAATACACACTTAACTTTCAATAATATACATTTTAACCCCTTAATTTTTGTATTTTATAAATACACACTTAACTTATAGTAATGTACATTTTGGCCCCTTAACTTTTGCATTTTATAAATACACCCTTAACTTTTGTATTTTATAAATACACACTTAACTTCTCGTAATATACATTTTGGTCCCTTAACTTTTGTATTTTATAAATACACATTTAACTTCTAGTAATGTACAATTAACCCCCTTAACTTTTGTATTTTATAAATACACACTTAACTTCTACTAATGTACAATTTGACCCTTTAGCTTCTAGTAATATACATTTTGGCCCCTTAAGTTTTGTATTTTATAAATATACATTTAACTTTCAGTAATGTATATTTTGGCCCCTTAACTTTTGTATTTTATAAATACACACTTAACTTCTAGTAATGTATATTTTGGCCCCTTAAGTTTTGTATTTTATAAATACACACTTAACTT